TCCTTAGTTTTGCTACCTTATGAAGAAACTGTTTCTACCTTAAGTACACAGCGATGTGAATCACACTCCTGCACGTAGACCTGGTGCACCTGCATTTAATAAGGTGTGCGCTGCCTTTTCTGGTTGTGGAAAGGCACAGGCACAGGTCCACCCACCCTCCCCAGCGGCCTTGTGAACAGCTGCACAGCCACTGTCCAGTAAGCTTGTGGAGCTTGTCAGGGACCTGGGCTTGTCACCACATCTCCAGCACCCAGAGCAGTGCCTGGCCCTCAAACATTGGCTCCACGCTTGAATTATTAAGACATGGACAGCTGCAAGAATACAGCAAAATGTGAATAATGCCCCTCTTTTTAGTGGCTCTCCCCTCAAGATGTCACCCTAAACATCTCAGCACCACTAACTGCAGAGGCACATGTATATAGCATGGATTCTTCAAGCTGATGGTGAAGCCTCATTCGCAGAGACAGCCAGGCCCTCCTGATGTTCTAGATCCCCCACTCACGTCTCTCCCACCCTGCTCCTTCCATCAGAAGTTAACAATCCAAGATCCCTTCTTCCAGGACCAGCTCTTTGGTTTTAAGATTTGCTGTCATCTTGGAGAATCATCCCTGAAAATCATCTAACGTTATCTCCTTCACTTCACTGTTGTTGGCACCGTCCAATGGATAGCTCATGCCAGATGGGAAGAAGAGTTAACATCTCAACAGGTGGCCTCTGGGTACCCACGCTTCCTACTCTACACTGACCACCCGCCACGGCTCCAGTCCTTTCTCACACGCGGCTGCTCCACCTCGCCTCTGCTGTGCTTACGTAACAATGAGCCTGGCTGGCCCACAGTGACAGTAAGGGGGTTGCGGGGAAGGACTGCTGTATCCCTGGCCTGGCAGGAACGAACAAAGCATGTCACAGAAGCACATACTCCTTACTCTCCAGACACCTTCAGGAGAGCTGACTTCGGCCTATCAGATGTGTTACTCCCCTCATTTCTGGATACTGTTATCAAACAGGAATCACCTTTAGCATCTGGAAAAGGAAGACCGGGTGGCTAATCTTTATTTTCTAAATTATTATTTTTTTGAGAGATGGAATCTCACTATGTTGCCCAGACTGGTCTCCAACTCCTGGACTCAAGTGATCCCCCTGCCTCAACCTCCCAAAGTGCTGGGATTAAGGCGTGAACCACTGTACCTGGCCTGGGTGGCTGATTTTTAAAATTCACAATTTCTGCTCCACTATCCAGACTACTGACAACGTGTTCCACCTTGCCCCCTGGTGGCAAAGAGCCTTTTTGGGGCTGTTTTTAATTTTGAACTGAAGTTTAGAGAAGAGTCGTTGATACAAAATTGAGAGGAAGTAAAGAAAAAGGCCAAGTATGGCAGCATAGGAGCAATGCTGGGAAAAAGAAAGCTTTTTGAAGATGGCAAGAAAAGCCTTTTCAAAAAGCAGAAGGAGCAACACCACTCAGCTATTACTACCAAGAGATTTTATATTCAGGGTTTGACTTCACTCACACCCAAACACATCCTGTGCCCACCACGTAACTAAGGGAGCTTCGGGCGCGGGGATAAGGAGGGAGAACAGCCCCCATGGCAGGCAGGCAGCACAGTTCTGTCTACCCAGCCACATACTGGGGTTGGCATTTTAGGACGCAGAAAATTGAACTAAGACAAAAAGAGGGAACCAGGCTTCTAAAGCCACATGACCCAATGTCAGGAAACGACAATCTGTTAATAAGTGAACAGTGGGCAGAGCCTGTATTCTCCCGGTTATACCCGTTTCTAGTGGGTATTTTGAGAGGCAACAGCACACAATCCTAACGCATCCACACACAGCCTCCGTCCGTGCCCGTGGAATACTGCAGCGAGAGCTCCTCCCCTCCTGTCTGCGAATGCCTCCAATACTCCAGCCCAGGCAGTGCTTCCCAGTGGGCACCACAGCCTTCACAAACCCCTCTTATTTTTTATTTAAGTATAGTTGGAATTTAGGAACAAATTAAGGCAAGCAGTGAATCAAGAGGGCAAGAGATGGCATCTGCTGGTCAATCCCCAAATAGTCGTACCAGTTATTTAGAAGTATCAAGATTCCAAAGACTAGAGGCATCTCTGAATTCACTTCCTGTGTGTAACACTTAGTGTCTGCAGGTCAAACAAATGGGGAACACTAATCTCAGAGTACCTCGCACAGTGAGCGCTTCTGACGGATCCTGTGGTGGGGAAGAATGAGCCTATTCATAATTTAAGTTCTGTGGTTAAGAACACACTGAACACCGTCCCCACTCTATGCAAACAAAAAACCCAATGTATCACCACCCAAAAAATACACACAAACACCCCTCAAATGTTACAGTCTCTGTGATGGTGGAGGAAAAGGTGAGGAACCCTCAGACAGACTGAGCGGTGGGTGATGGTGCTGGTCACTGCCACTGAATGCATCTGTGGACTGACGGCGACATACCAGAAGGAGCGTGGACTCCGAGTCTCTCCGACACAACTGGCTCACACACAGATCAAAGTCCACTCACCATGCTCAGTGTCTCTGCGGTACACAGCTGGCTCTGTGGAAGCTCCTTACCGACATCCGTGGGGTAACAGATACAACAAGACGTTACAAGGATCACACCCCGCCAGCCTTGCAGTTGACTGGCTCAGTTTTCAGTGAGACGGCACAGAACCTTCTTACCCAACACCACATTAGCTTGGGTTTCACTGAGCTGGCTGAGCTGTTAAACTTCTTGAAAATCTATCCTTAGGAAGCAGTAAAAAAACAGCATCTGATCGAAGATAGGAGCTTGGACCAGGGAAGGAATTTCCAAATTCAAAGAAGACAGAGAAGGTAGGAGCAGAAGACGCGAGAACTGAGTTGGGTGGCTGCCAAAAGCTTACGATGAAGCCACCTCAGGGAGAGTCTCTTTATCTGCTCAGGGGTGAGCCCGGCCTCCACAAGTGTCCCTAATCCTGCCAAGGAAAGTACAACTGCCTGTAATCAGCACGTAGACAGCAGAAGCTTCCATGCAAAGCTGGAAGGCAATGTTAAAAGCAGGACCCCAGGGACTCCACGTGGAAGTCATGGCAGGGCTTCCTCCAAAGCTTTCTTACAAATTACAAAGTCACGGATCAAGCGCAGATATAAATCTATAATAACAGAAACAACTTAAAAGGGCAAGAAGAGTCTAAGTATGGCTGTGAAAGGACTGGGGTTGAGAAATGCACATTCAGGTTTGATAAATTCACCTGAGTAAGTCACTTGAATTTCCTCATGGAATTTCAGCTAAACCACAGAGAATGGAGAATATACGATAGCAGGGGCTGTGGGTCCTGCGCTTCCCCAGTGCATTTTAAAAAGACTCAGCTGTGCCGGGTGTGGTGGCTCATGCCTGTAATCCCAGCACTTTGGGAGGCCGAGGCGGGTGGATCACGAGGTCAGGAGATCGAGACCATCCTGGTCAACATGGTGAAACTCCGTTTCTACTAAAAATGCAAAAAATTAGCTGGGCGTGGTGGCGCGTGCCTGTAATCCCAGCTACTCAGGAGGCTGAGGCAGGAGAATTGCTTGAACCCAGGAGGCAGAGGTTGTGGTGAGCTGAGATCGCACCATTGCACTCCAGCCTGGGTAACAAGAGTGAAACTCCGTCTCAAAAAAAAAAAAAAAAAAAAGACTCAGCTGCTGGGAGACAGAACGTAATAGAACGTAACAGAAATGTCACCTTCAGCAGTCAAGAGCTTCAGAGATTTAAAATCCTGTGAACGTCAGTATTAAAGAAAAACTATTTTTTTTTTTTTTTAAGAGACAGGGTATCACTATATTCCCCAAGCTGGTCTTGAACTCCTGGGCTCAAGCGATCCTCTTGCCTTGTCCTCCCAAAATGCTGGGATTACAGGCGTGAGCTACCACGCCCAGTTTCAACTTCGGTATTTTACTATTTTCCAACGATCTCTCTTAACACTTCAAGCACATCAAGCAAAGACCTGTGGCATTTAAAGACCCTAGACCAATGCACAGAGTGAACAAATTTCATTATGAGCCCATTACATGCCCAGGTGCTTGCAAATAGATTACCTTACTGATGTGCTGGACACTACCACTGTAAATCTTATTTACATCCAATCTTTACTTGAAGACATGGTTAAGTTTTTATAAAAGCTAGGAGAGATGGCTCATGCCTGTAATAATCCTACTGCTTTGGGAGGCTGCGGTGGGGGGATCACTTGGCATGAGGAGTTCAAGACCAGCCTGGGCAACACAGATTTCGTTAGTACTAAAATTAATAATAATAAAAATTAGCTGGCTGGGCACAGTGGCTCACACCTATAATCCCAGCACTTTGGGAGGCCAAGGCAGGCCAATCACGAGGTCAAGAATTTGAGACCAGCCTGACCAACGTGGTGAAACCCTGTCTCTACTAAAAATACAAAAAAATCAGCTGGGCATGGTGGCGCATGCCTGTCAACCCAGCTACTCAGGAGGCTAAGGCAGGAGAATTGCTTGAACCTGGGAGGCGGAGGTTGCAGTGAGCTGAGATCACGTCACTGCATTCTAGCCTGGGGGACAGTGCGAGACTCCGTCTCAAAATAAAAATTAGCTGGGTGTGGTGGGGTGAGTCTGTAGTCCCAGCTACTTGGGAGGGTGAGGCAAGAGGACTGCTTGAGCTTGGAAGGTTGAGGCTGCAGTGCACATGGTCACACCACTGCATTCCAGCATGGGCAACAAAGCAAGACTCTGTCTCAAAAAGAAAAAAAAAGGAAGATTTGATAAATCAAGAGTTCTCTGCTGCTGTCTGCTTTTGGCTGAGCACTCAAGCAGCAATGGCAAACTGAGGCCGCTGTGCCTCCAGTTCTGCAGAAAATGCCGGGTGACTTTTTCAAGGGCCGTCCCTGCACTGCTAGGACTACAATTCCGAAGTCAAGGATGCACAGCAGCAGTCGCAGCTTTCCCCCAAGACCGCCATGAGGAGAAGGGCAAGGAGGGAATGTTCTGGCATTCTCAAAGGAAAACATTTCCAAGATATAAAATGGATTCAATTTTTATTAAATAACGTAAGGGGTTTTCTTGGCACCATTCACATTCTCTTGCCTTTCTGAGTAAAACAAGTGCGTTCATCTGCATCGGTAGCAGAGGGAAAGCTACGGGAGCAAACGTTAAGTGAACGGGTCCCCGTGCCGAAGGCGTCCTCATTCTCAGGCTGTCAGGCCTCCCCTCGTCTGCAGGACAGGACAGGCCACCCTCCCCAGGCCCTGCCCTCGCCGCGTGTCCTTCCACACAGACAGCAGCCTTGCTCGGTCACCTGGAGGAGCTGCGCTCTTTGCTGACACAGTCATCCTGGGAGGTGGCGTCCCCGTTCCCCACCATGCTGCACGTCCTCCTCTTCTTTCTGCGGTGCACCGTCCCATCCCCCTCGGATCCAGACTCGCACTGCACACGGGAGGAGACAAAACAAGCAGTCAGCCTGGACGCAATCCACTTCCTCGTTAAACAAACCTCTGCCCTTGGGAGACAGCACAGGTATCGGTCACTTTCTCCCAGATGCAAAGCTGTCATTACGACAGCTCCACAGCGCAGCCTTCATAGCTACCTCCTCCGATGTTCCTGGCTCCCTAAGAATTTCAAACTTCCCTCAATGCAAGTGTCCCTCCTCCACTGTTCTCCTAATGGTGCAGTTATTTGTTTGAGTAAGATACCCACTGCTGGGCCGGGTGCATTGGCTCTCACACCTGTAATCCCAGCACTTTGGGAGGCTGAGGCGGCCAGATCACCTGAGGTTGGGAGTTGGAGACCAGCCTGGCCAACATGGAGAAACCCTGTCTCTACTAAAAATACAAAATTAGCCAGGTGTCATGGTGCATGCCTGTAGTCCCAGCTACTCGGGAGGATGAGGCAGGAGAACAGAAGCTGGGATCGTGCCATTGCACTCCAGCCTGGGGAACACCAGCAAGACTTCATCTCAAAAAAACAAAACAAAACAAAATAAAACCGAGAGATACCTACTGTAAAAATAGTTTAGTCAGCATTCTGAAATTGCATTATGAGATTTCACTTTACCAACAGAGCCTGATGCATGAAAGGAAGTTGATACAGCACTGAACATTCCCAGAGCCCCTTCCTGCCCAACGAGAGAGGACTAAATCAGCAGACTGGGTGAAAAGACAGATTTTTTTTTTTTTTGAGACAAAGTTGCACTCTGCTGCCCAAGCTGGAGGGCTGTGGTGCTTTCTCACTGTAGCCTTTGCCTTCTGGGTTCAAGAGATTGTTGTGTCTCAGCCTCCTGAGTAGCTGGGATTAGAGGTGTGCACCACCATGCCCGGCTAATTTTTATAATTTTAGTAGAGATGGGATTTCGTCATTTGGCCAGGCTGGTTTGAACTCCCGATCTCAAGTAATCTATTTGCTTTGGCCTCCCAAAGTGTTGGGATGACAGGCGTGAGCCACCGTGTCAGGCTGAGATGGAAATTTCACCTGTTAAAGGTGCAGGGCCCTTTCACCCAGTATTAATGTCAGCTTCAAGTTTAAGGTCACTGGATTTGCAGAATTTCTAGGCTTACTATTTACCATCCACGGGGGAAAGCCTCCAGAAGGACGTTTGAATCCTGACACTGCTGCTTGATCTTAAGCCATTTACTTCACTAAATCCCCAAATACCTGATGCCGCTTGAGGCTATTTTAACAATTCATGCGCATGTGCAAAGCTGTAACGTGGGACAAGATACACTACTCGGCAGGAATGGTGACAACCAAAACCCTTAGAACAAGGTGGAAAAACTTTCGTGCGCTTCTCCTTCTGGATAGGAGGAGGAAGAGTCACACCTGGTGTAGCTGAGTGACATGAGCCCTGGAGGCTCCAGAAGCCAGCCAGAGAGCAAGGCCTCACCTCTGAGTCGGAGTCTGAAGAACTGGAGCTGGAGGAGCTGGAAGAGTCGCTGGAGCTGTCAGGAGGCTATCCCTGTGGACTCCTGAAGGTCAACCGAGTCTGCCAGGACTGCCAACTCGGGGTGCTCTTGCTTCAAGATCCTGAGAGGCAAGAAGTGTTGTTCTCAGTGTACTGACAGAGAACAATACCCACTCACGAGGACTCGCACTGAGAGCTGAGACCTGTATCTCTCAGAAACACCTGGAAATACCAGGTGTGTCAGTTCAGAAACGGTACTGTATAATGGTGAGGACAAAACCCTAGGCTGGGAACAAGAGAAGCCCAATATGGTGCAAGGAAAACTGCATACTAACTACACACAATTTACTACCACCTGCACAAATGAGCCAGCCATGCCACCAACACACAAGGCACAATTTTCCTTAAGTCAGTCTTAGTTTTATTCCCTGGGGAGAAATGGTTCCTCTTCCTAGTCTTATTTCCTGAACCTTTCCCAGCTGATTTTTGAAAAACCTTTCCTTTCCACAGCACAGCACATAATGATCGGAGTTGGGTTGGTTAGATCCTATTTCTAGGAGTAGAAACAATTAGGTTTGTAAGAAATACGAAGTGTCAAATAACAGAGATGCCCCCCCCTCACTTGGATCGTAAAACAGAACTGGACTTCAGAGCAGCAGCCCTCCCCTTCAGGAACCTCGTCTGGCAGGCACTGTAACCAGTGGCAAAAGACCTGTTGTATGATAAGGCCTGCAGTGTGACCAAATCACAGCACGCAGTGGCCCACGGAGCGGGGTAAGTGGGCTCAGATGCCCAAGAGTCCAGGGAGAACAGAAGCCACCACCCTTACTGGCCCTCTCAGCAGGGAGGCTGAGCATGGAACAAGCCAGAATCCCTCTCTTACCCCGAGAGCTGGTCCCTCCAGGTCAGGGTTGGGACACAGTGGCACGGGGTGGCTGTGGGTGGCGTGCACTGCCGCTGCCCGTGCTGTATCTGTTCTGTGGATAAACAGAGGAGCTAAGTCTCCAGGGCAGTCACCTCGCTCACAAGAACTGAAGGGATTAAGTTCAAATGGGAATAATGCTTCTGGGTAAGAAAAAGAAACAACCCAAATAAAACCCAAATAAAGTAATTTATTTAGGTAGCACTAGCTTTGAAAAAAACAGAAAACAAAATGAAACGAGAAACAATCCCAACTGATGATCATGTTTGACTGAGTGGCTTGGATTCAACATGCAGAGTCTCGCCCTGCCACCTTGAGGCCGGCAAATATCCTGAGGACTCAACCTGATCTTGGTCCCTCTCTCCTCTACCCAGAGGATCGGCAGCCCCCGCTCGCCCCAGGCCTGTCTATGATCAGCACACGGCACTGCAGCCATTTCATCTCTGGGGCAGAAACTGTAACCAGGCAGAAAGAAGAAAAAATGACTCTCACCTATACCATTTCCTTGACAGCTTTGGTCTCCCTCTTACCGTCTTGTGCCATACCACAGGGAAGTTGGTGCTGCTGGCAAAATTTTGGGTGATGGCGATAGTAGTGTCGAGATTGAGGACGACATGCCACCAGCCTCCTGAAATCCAACAAATAAAGTTAAATAAGGTTTCATCCTATACCCAAGTACTGTGTCACACACACCAGAAACTGGGAACTCCTACCCCTAAGGGAGAGCCTAGAGACATGATACAGGGTAGCAAACATTCCTTCTGACTCAGGGATTGCAAACAGCTTGTCTGTGTCAATAAAGTTTTATCAGATCACAGCTATGCATGTCTCTTGACATATTGTCTAGGGCTGCTTTCCTGCTACATGGGCAGAGTTGAGTAGTTGTTAACAATCTGGCTTATAGTGCCTAAAATACTTACTCTCTGGCCCTTTACAGAAAAAGTTTGTTTACTCCTGTTAATCCAAAGCTGTGACCAAAAGTGCAAAAGCATAAAGTTCTTCAGTGTCTAGGAAGAGGACACCCACTTTAAATACTCACTTCCATTCACTTCCCAATGTGCAGTTGTCTGGTGTGGGATTTCCTGACTCAACCCAGACAGTGCCATACTGTATCAAAAACCCAATATAGGCTGGGCTTCGTGGCTCACACCTATAATCCCAGCACTTTGGGAGGTTGAGGCGGGAGGCTTGCTTGAACCCAGGCGGCCAGCCTGGGCAACACAGTGACATCTCCAACTCAATTTACAGAATTAAACCCTGACCAGAAGCAGGAAGCTGACAGTAATACTGGGTGGCTCACGCCTGTAATCCTAGCACTTTGGAAGGCTGAGGCGGGTGGACAGCCTGAGGTCAGGAGTTTGAGACCAGCCTGGGCAACACAGTGAAACTCCAATCTCTACTAAAATACAAAAATTAGCCGGGTGTGATGTTGTGCACCTTTAATCCCAGCTATTGGAGAAGGCTGAGACAGAAGAATTTTGTGAACTCAGGAGCTGGAGGTTGCAGTCAGCTGAGATCACCCATTGCACTCCAGCGTGGGTGACAGAGTGAGACTCGTCTCAAAAAAAAACAAAAAAAACAAAAAAACAAAAAAACAAAAAAAAACGGCCGAGTGCGGTGGCTCACGCCTGTAACCCCAGCACTTTGGGAGACCAAGGTGGCAGATCACGAGGTCCAGAGATGGAGACCATCCTGGCCAATACGGTGAAACCCCGTCTCTACTAAAAATACAAAAATTAGCCAGCCATGGTGGCGTGTGCCTGCAGTCCCAGCTACTTGAGAGGCTGAGGCAGGAAAATCACTTGAACGCAGGAGGCGGACGTTGTGGTGAGCCAAGAATTTTGCGAACTCAGGAGCTGGAGGTTGCCGTCAGCTGAGATCGCCCATTGCACTCTAGCCTGATGACAGAGTGAGACTCTGTCTCAAAAAAAAAAAAGAAGAATTAAACCCCCATTTGCATAAACACAAACAAGCTGGTACACATATGCAAAGATAGTAAGTAACGACTACAATAAAGAAAACTTGTATCTTTACATATGGTGTTGTTTTTGTTTTTGAGATGGAGTTCTGCTTTGTCACCCAGGCTGGAGTGCAGTGGCATGATCTCGGCTCACTGCAACCTCCGCCTCCCAGGTTCAGGTGATTCTCCCTGCCTCAGCTTCCTGAGTAGCTGGGATTAGAGACGCCTGCCATCACACCTGGCTAATTTTTGTATTATTAGTAGAGACAAGGTTTCACCGTGTTGGCCAGGCTGGTCTTGAACTCCTGACCTCAAGTGATCCGCTCACCTAGGCCTCCCAAAGCGCTGATTACAGGCGTGAGCTACTGCACCCAGGTCTATATACACTTTATCAAGAGTTTTATAGCTGTATGAAATGTGAACAAGAGCTCCCAAAGTACTTCACACCGTAGCTACATGCTACTGTGAGAGGTGGGTACCAGTTCATCTACCAGGCAGCATGCACAAAATTTTTGGGGGCTCACTTTCTAACAGTTCTGCTCCAAAATGACAAAACATTGAAATCAAAAGAATGTACTTTCTTCCAGTTCATTTATACCTGGCACAAAGACAGTCTCTCCTGGTTTTTGTAAGATTTCCAGGGGTTTGAATTCAGGTGGCCAGGTTGGAAGCTGTGTCCGGGGATAAATAACATTAAACCAGGTAATAGCTTCGTCTTGCTGGTTCCCTCCTTCTTCTCGGGTTACCTTGATGAGTTCCCTGGGAGTACTAGTAGGAAACAGGCACCAGCGCTTGTGGCCCTGAACTAAGGCATTCCAGGCACTGGTTCCCAGGGGGTCGATGTGAATCCCAGTTCCAGAGCGTGGTGGCCCCATCACAAACCACCTACAGAATGAAGATATCCAAGACGTAAAGTATCATTTAGTTACACACATACCATACAAAACAGTAAGTTTGGCCAGGCTTGGTAGGTCATGCCTATAATCCCAGCACGCTGGGAGGCTGGAGGCAGGCAGATCACCTGAGGTCGGGAGTTTGAGACCAGCCTGACCAACATGGAGAAACCCTGTCTCCACTAAAAATACAAAATTAGCTGGACGTGGTGGTACATGCCTGTAATTGCAGCTACTCGGGAGGTTGAGGCAGGAGAATCACTTGAACCTGGGAGGCAGAGGTTGTGGTGAGCCAAGATTGCACAATTGCACTCCAACCTGGGCAACAAGAACAAAACTCCATTCTCAAAAAAAACAGTAAGTTTTTAGTTTAGTTCCCCCCCCACCCCGTTTTTTTTTTTTTTGAGAGTCTTGCTCTATTGCCCAGGCTAGAATGCAGTGGCTTATCTTGGCTGATGGCAACCTCCACTTCCCCAGGTTCACACAGTTCTCCTGCCTCGGCCTCCTGAGTAGATGGGATTACAGGTGCCTGCCACCACCCTTGGCTAATTTTTGTATTTTTAGTAAAGGTGGTGTTTCACCACGTTGGCCAGGCTGATCTCGAACTCCTGGCCTGAAGTGATAACCTGCCTCAGCCGCCCAAAGTGCTGGAATTACAGGTTTGAGTCACCACACCTGGCCAGGTTTTAATTTTACGTGATACATCATCTTTATTTCAAAGATTATATAAATGCTGGTACATAGAAACACTGAGTGGATTGTTTATGGACTGATTCTTACCAAAACAAGAAAAATCAGCCAGGCACAGTGATTCACGCCTGTAATACCAACATTTTGGGAGGCGGAGGCGGGTGGATGGCCTGAGGTCAGGAGTTCGAGACTAGCCTGACCAATATGGTGAAACCCCGTTGTCTACTAAAAATACAAAAATTAGCCGGGTATAGTGGTGGGCACCTGTAATCCCAGCTACTAAGGAGGCTGGGGCAGGAGGATTGCTTGAACCCAGGAGGCAGAGGCTGCAGTGAGCCAAGATACTCCATGCCTCTATACTCCAGCCCGGAAGACAGAAGGAAACTCCATCTCAAAAACAAAAACAAACAAAAAAACACTGATGTGGTTTACTGCTGGACTTTGTAAGCCTTTGTTAAAACTTCCCTTGCAGGCGTCCCCAAACTACGGCCCCCAGCTGCACTTCAGGAAGGGGCACCTCTTTCACTGGTGGTCAGTGAGAGGAGCACGTTATGTGGCGGCCCTCCAACGGTCTGAGGGACAGTGAACTGGCCCCCTTTGTAAAAAGTTTGGGGACGCCTGGATCAGTGATTCAACTTTAGTTGCACATTCGTCACCTGGGGAGCTTTCAGAAATTCTGATGCCCAGGCAAGCACCCCAGTTAACTCAGTCTCCACAGTAGGACCTCAGGAGCCCCTAAGTAAGTTCAACGTGAAGCCAGGGAGAACTCACTGTTTTGGAAAAAGATTACCAACTGAACTCAGCGAACAAACGCTGTTGTAGGTAAGGTTTTAACCACGTAGGGGCGGAATACTTTACCTGTAAGGGGGCCTGCGCTTCTCCCCAGCATACTGGAAAAGGTCATCAGTGAAAAACTTGGGCACCTTGTAGTCTTCCAAAAGTTTCCTTCTTTTAGGGTGTTCGCCATAGCTGCTGTCAAAGATGTAGAGGGGGCTGTCGTCTCGAGTGCTCTCCATGTACTCGATGTAGTACTTCATCTTCATCTTCACTGAGTAACCATCGTTATCCTCACCACACTTGAACTTCTGGTTCCGGTATTTCCTTTTTAGGCGCTCCAGAGTCCACTTCTCCTGCGCAGACCAGCCCTCTTGGGCGTTCAACAAAACCACGGGCTTGTAAGGTCTTTCATACCGCTCCACAAACTCTTCCACAGACAGTTGTAAAGCGTCTGCTCTTTCCACGTTATCCTGAAGGAATTAGAAAAGACCTCTCCAGTTAAAAAACAAAATAAAAAAGAAGTCCAGTGGCAGATAAGGGTGTCCCCAAGGCCAATTAGTAATGGCAACCGAAGGAAGCTGACTCTCATCTGGCTCCTCCGGAATAGGGGAGGGCGCGTGCGTGAGGCCACGTCGTTCCTAGAGCCACCCCATCAGAAGAGGGGACTTGTGTCTCCCACCCGTGAGCCTTGACAGCCAGGTCCCCTTGGGGCCCCGCCGCCCAGAGGAGTCGGGGATGACCGGCCTTCTAGTTGAGAGTGCCACAGGCATGGGACTCCCGTCGTCGGCCGGGGCGGACATGCGGGCGGCCACAGCACGGGAGGAAGAAGGCCCGGCCCGGAATCCGGGCCTCCGGGACCCCAAACTCCGCGGGGTGCGGGTGAGCCTCTCCGAGCTCCCGGGTGCAGCGCTCGGAGCGAGGGCAGCCCCGGGCCCCGAGAAAAGTGCGCAGCGGCTGGCGGTGCTGATGCCCGGCCCGGCCACCCCGCTCGCCCCGCTCACCGCCACGGCCGCCGGGCTCAGCGAGAAGCTCTCGTAGTAGTTGTGCCGGGTCCAATCCAGCGAGTCCTTGAGCTCCGGCCGCGCACTCCGCTTGGCCTCGCGGATGCGCTTCTTGCTCTTGTGGTTCATCCTGCGGGGTCACCAGCTGGTTCCGCTACGACCTCGGCGCAGCCCGCTTCCTGCCACTAACGCACCCCTCCCGGCCCGGGCGGCGGAGACGGAGGCACTCCAACGCCCTTCACTCCGGCCCGGCGCCTTTAAAGTCGCCTTCCAGAAAATTCACTCCCCAGCCACCTCCCGAGCCTCGGGTTGGGCAAGCGGCCGCCGTGTTCCCCGCCCCCGCGCCTCTCGCAGTCCGCCATTGGTTTCGGCAGCTCTGGGGCCCGCCCTCACACGCGGGGAGGGGGGGGGCTCCGCCATGTTGGGAAGGTCACGTCGGCCGCGTCGCCGTACCGCCGCGCCCCTCCTGCGCGCTGTCGCGGCGCGCATCACTTCCTGCTGCGCCGACCGCCCGTTGCCGGTCTTGCGTGTCTGAGTTTCCTTGCGCTTCTGAGTTTCCTTCGGTTAACTCCGCGCTTTCTTCGCTTGCAGTGCGGCCGGATTATCTCCGGAGCTGGGCCTTCCCGTTCTTGCGGTCAGGGGCTAGAGCCACGTGGCCCGGAGCCTCCCTCTCGCGCAGCCTGGCAGCCCGGAGCCCTCCGCAGTCTCCCGCCGGCTCGGGGCCCACCGATGCCCCCCCGAGCGACCACGGTTTCCGAGAGCAGAGGGTCCAGGCCCAGCGCTTTCGATTCTCGGAGGAGCCGGGCCCGGGATCCGAGGGGGCCGTGCTGGAGGTCCACGTTCCGCAGGTGCGTGTCGCAGCACCCGCCGGGAGGCGCCTGAGGACAGGAGCGGTTATCGGCTGACTTGGCTGGGATCCTGAGGGACGGGGGTTCGGACGCTCAACTGCGCAGCTTCCTGCTTTAGGTTGGCCCCCAGAGCAAAAATGTCGGATATGAACCCCTTCAGTGGATTAAATGTCTCTCAGTAAGAATTTTGGAGACCCTGCCATGAAGTGACCCCGGTCACTATGCTGGTCAGGCTGGTCTCGAACTATAAGCTTAAGTGATCCTCCCGCCTCGGCCTTCCAAAGTGCTAGGATCACAGGCGTGAGCCGCCGGGCCGGCTTTCTGCACATCGAATCTTTCCTGCCAGAAAAATGACTTTCTTGACCTCTAATGCTTTTCATCTTGTCCATGGGTTTCTTGATGCATCCTTATCGCACACAGTTTTGTGAGTTTTTGGACCAGTGATTCCAGTGTTATTTAGTCCCCAAATAAAGTTTCTTGAGTTGGCACTGGCTTCGTCCTCTAAGCTCACAGCTGCCCGAAAGCTCTCAATAATTACTACTTTTTTCTTGAAACACTGTTTCGCTCTGGCGCCCAGGCTGGAGTGCAGTGGCGTGATCATAGCTCACTAACCTCCATCTCCCAGGTTCAGGTGAACTTCCCGCCTGCCCAAGTGCTGGGATTACAGGAGTGAGCCACCATGCCCTGCCTGTCTCCGGTTTTTCAAAGCACTTTCACGTTGCGGTGTTTAACTTAGTTTTAACAGCAGCCTGTGAGGCATGTCCCATGCTAAAGAAAAAGCTTGAGAGAAGTTAAAGGGGTGGAGTGGGCTGGTGCAGGGGCTCACACCTGTAATCTCAGCTGTTTGGGAGGCCGAGGCAAGCGAATCACGAGGTCTGGAGATCAAGACCATCCTGGCCAACGTGGTGAAACCCCGTCTCTACTAAGTAATTACAAAAAAGATTTAGTCGGTGGTGGTGGCGGCGGGTGCCTGTAGGCACAGATACTCGGGAGGCTGGAGCAGGAGAATCGCTTGAACCTGGGAGGTGGAGGTTGCAGTGAGCCGAGATCGCGCTACGCACTCCAGCCTGGCTGACAGAACGAGATACTCCGCTCCAAAAAAAGAAGGGGGGGCAGTGAGCAGGCACACATTCTCGTGTTTATTTTTTTTTTAAATTAATTTTAATTTTTTTTTTTTATTTTATTTTATTTTTTGACTCATGCTTGTAATCCCAACACTTTGGGAGGCCTAGGCTAGAGGATTGCTTGGGCCCAGGAGTTCAAGACCAACCTGGGCAACATAGTGATACTACGTCTTGACAAAAAACAGAAAAATTAGGCATCGTGGTGTGTGCCTTTAGTCCCAGCTACTGGGGAGGCTGAAGTGGGAGAATTGGTTAAGCCGAAAAAGGTCGAGGCTGCTGTGAGCTGTGATCAGGCCACTGCACTCAGGCATGAGCAATAGAGCAAGATCATGTCAAAAAAAAAAAAAAAAAAAGGAGTGGCTGCTATTTCTGATATGATACAGACTCCAAATAGCTTCACTTGATAGTCTCTAAACAGCTTATCTTTTTTTTTTTTTTTTTGGTGATACAGAGGCTTGCTCTATTGCCCAGGCCTGGAGTGCAGTGGTGGGCTCACTGCAACCCCAACCTCCGGGGCATAAGTGATCCTCTCAGCCTTTTGAGTAGCTGAAACCACACCCAATTTGGCTTCATGTTTAAATACACTGTGTTTCTTCCTAAATGTTGGGGGTGATGATTTGCCTTTTATATCCCCAAAGAGAATAGAAGCCTCTTTTTTTTTTTTTGAAAGGAAGTCTCCAGCCCAGGCTGGAGTGCAGTGGCATAATCTCGGCTCACTGCTACTTCTGCCTCCCAGGTTTAAGCGATTCTCCTGCCTCCGCCTCCTGAGTGGCTGGCTAATTTTTTGTATTTTTAGTAGAGACAGGGTCTCACCTTGTTGCCCAGGCTGGTCTCGAACTCCTGACCTCAGGTGATCTGCCTGCCTAAGCCTCCCAAAGTGCTGGGATTATAGGCGTGAGCCACCACACCCAGCCTAGAAGCCTCTTTTCTTTACACCCAAATCTGCACAACTCTATCCTCTGGTCAAGGCAATTTTACCTGCTCATCCTGTACCCCTGCACTTAGAACAGTGCCTAGCATATGTTAGCCATTTATGTTTTTAATGAATTGATTACGTTTGGATCTCAGTTCCTTCACCTTTGATACTTTCTTTTTCTTTCTTTCTTTTTTTTTGAGACAGAGTTTCGCTCTTGTTACCCAGGCTGGAGTGCAATGGCGCGATCTCGGCTCACCGCAACCTCCGCCTCCTGGGTTCAGGCAATTCTCCTGCCTCAGCCTCCTGAGTAGCTGGGATGACAGGCACGTGCCACCATGCCCAGCTAATTTTTGTATTTTTAGTAGAGACGGGGTTTCACCATGTTGATCAGGATGGTCTCGATCTCTTGACCTTGTGATCCGCCCGCCTCAGCCTCCCAAAGTGCTGGGATTACAGGCTTGAGCCACTGTGCCCGGCCACCTTTGGTACTTTCACCTGTTCAGCTTCTTTTTCTAACACCCCACCAGGACACCCTTTGCTCCAGAGGACAGAAAGACATGTTTTGCAGTTTAATTGCTACCTTTGAGTGCTTTGTGTTTGGCACTGTCCTAAGTTTGCGTTGAATTTTTCCGAAAACTCTATTGAGACAGTATTTTGCAGTTGAGGAAATGGAAGCACTGATATGCTAAGTAACTTGTCTTGAGGTCACATAGCTAGTAAATTACAAATCTAGAGATTGGACCCAGGCCAGCTCATTTCCTCGCCGAATACCATGCTCTTATGATTCTAGGCGTTTCCAAAGGCTTGTGTGCTGCCTGCCTGCCTAACTCAGGATTCAGCTGGACTCATACTTCTAGGGTGTCTTCCTAGGACCACACCACTTCCTATTAACACACCAAGTTATGTTTGTGCCTAAACCCCTCCCATATCTTCATGTTGCACTTAGAATACAATCTAAACGTCTGGGGCTGACAGGACCCCACAGGTCTGGTCCCTGTCTTCTGACCTCCACTTGCATGCACTGCACAACCATGCCTCCAGCTTCCATTCCTATCTGCCCCCTTCCCTACTCCCCAGTTTGATTAGCCACTGAGGACTTTCTTCATTCAGAGCCTTTGCCTGAATTAAGAGCAGCCACCTGTACTCACCCCCACTGCCTGTTACGCTCTTACGTCACCCTGTTTAGCTTTGTAGCATTGTCCCTGATTATAAAGATCTTGTTTGCTTACTCATTGCCTGTCTCTAGAGTACAATATGTGATCAGGGAGAGCTACATCCCCAGTCTAAGAATGGTCCCTGATACTCAGACACTAGAAGTGCTTGTTGAATGAAGAGTGCCATCAAGAGTGCTTATCATGCCGGGCGCGGTGGCTCAAGCCTGTAATCCCAGCACTTTGGGAGGCCGAGGCGGGTGGATCACAAGGTCGAGAGATCGAGACCAACCTGGTCAACATGGTGAAACCCCGTCTCTACTAAAAATACAAAAAATTAGCTGGGCATGGTGGCACGTGCCTGTAATCCCAGCTCCTCAGGAGGCTGAGGCAGGAGAATTGCCTGAACCCAGGAGGCGGAGGTTGCGGTGAGCCGAGATTGCGCCATTGCACTCCAGCCTGGGTAACAAGAGCGAAACTCCTTCTCAAAAAAAAAAAAAAAAAAAAAGAGTGCTTATCATATTGCATTGTGGTTTTACATCCCCAGAGGTCGGGGACTGGTAAGCATGGCTGCTATTTTTGTAATGGATGCTAATGCCTGACAGAAATTGCTGTAGAAATGATTCCAACTTCCAGCAGATAAATTATTTGTGACAGAAAAAAATTCTTTTCAGATCCTGCATCTCCAGTATGGAATGTATGTTTGGCCCTGTGCTGTGGTCCTGGCCCAGTACCTTTGGTTTCACAGAAGATCTCTGCCAGGCAAGGCCATCTTAGAGGTACAAGTCCCTGTGAAGTTTCCAGAATTCTGGGTTATGTTCAAATATGTTAAGTTTACATGTATGTATGCTTGTTATTAGCTTTTGTTACATATTTTTAAATCGGGGTTAATTTAGCTAGTTTGTAAGGTCTGTGAGCTAAGAATGTTTTGTTTTTGTCTTAAGGTAGAGATTATCTTGGAACTTTTTTTAATTTAAAAAGTGTTTTTGTTTAATGAAGTAAAAGATTTTTTAAAAACATGCTGGGTGTGATGGCTCACACCTGTAATCCTAGTACTCTGGAAGGTTGTGGTGGGAAGATTGCTTGAGCCCAGTAGTTTGATACCAGCCTAGGCAAAATAGTGAGACCCTGTCTCTAAGAAAAAAATGTGACAGAGACAGTAGGTAGACCACAAAGCCTAAAATATTTACTCTCTAGCCCTTTGCAGTTTGCTGACCGCTATTCTAGATGGAGCCCCTGAACTGCCTTCCATGGCCAGCAGTGTCACGCAGGCTTTACAACTGCAGTGCTTTTTTTTTTTTTTTTTTTTTTTTTTTTTTTAAAGAATCTCGCTCTGTCACCAGGCTGGAGTGAAGTGGCATGATCTCGGCTCACTCTGCAACCTCCAACTCCCTGATTGAAGCGATTCTCCTGCCTCAGCCTCCTGAGTAGCTGGGATTACAGGCATGCACTACTATGCCCAGGTAATTTTTATATTTTTAGTAGAGGTAGGGTTTTACCATGTTGGCCAGGATGGTCTTGATCTCCTGACCTTGTGATCCACCCACCTCAGCCTCCCAAAGTGCTGGGATTACAAGCATGAGCCACCACGCCCAGCGAATAACTGCAGCGCTTTTAACATTCAGGTTGATGGAACAAAACACCATATAACGAGTGGCTTATAAATAACAGAAATTTGTGTCTCTGGCTGGGCGCAGTGGCTCACGGCTTGGGAGGCCAAGGTGGGTGGATCACCTGTCAGGAGTTCAAGACCAGCCTGGCAAACATGGTAAAATCTTGGTGGCACACGTCTGTAGTCCCAGCTACTCAGGAGGCTGAGGAAGAAATGCTTGAACCCGGGAGGTGGAGGTTGGAGTGAGTCAAGATCGCACCACTGCACACCAGTCTGGGTGAGAGAGCAAGACTCCATCTCAAAAATTAAAAAAAAAAAAAAAATAGGCTGGGTGTGGTGGCTCACGCCTGTAATCTCAGCACTTGGAGGCTGAGGCGGGTGGGTCACTTGAGGTCAAGAGATCGAGACCATCCTGGCCAACATGCTGAAACCCTGTCTCTACTAAAAATACAAAAATTAGTCAGGCATGGTGGTGCGCACCTGTAGTCCCAGCTACTCAGGAGGCTGAGACAGAATTGCTTGAAACTGGGAGGCGGAGGTTGCTGCGAGCTGAGATCACACCACTGCACTACAGCCTGGAAAAAAAATAAAAAAAGAAATTTGTGTCTCAGTTCTGGAGGCAGTGAAGTTCCAGGATCAAAGTCCTTAGAGATTCAGTGTCTTGGTGAGGGCCAGAATTCTGGTTCAGACCGTGCCCTCCATGTTCTCAAGTGAAGAAAAGCAGCAAGGCAGCTCTCCGGAGTCTTTTATAATGGCACTGATCATGAGAACTCTGCTCTCATCTAATTGCCTCCCATTGGCCCACCTAATATGGGTATTAGGATTTGAACATGTGAATTTTGGGTGGATACAAACACTCAGACCATAGCCCTTTCCATTTTTGGAAACATTGAGATTAGTATAAAAATGTATCCCACTCTCCTTACCTCACTACCTGGCTTCAGACTGCTGAAGGGTTGGAAAAAAATCAATTTTATCACATAGACTTCCACACCTAAGTAGACAGACCAGAAGCTCGATATAAACCTCCCACTCCTTTTACTATGCCACATAAATGAAGGGTAGGACTTGGCACACACTTCTGGCCTTAGTAGTAATTGTTAGGCACCCAGAATAATCTCTATGCCCATTCTTATTTATTATTTTTTTTTTTGAGACGGAGTTTCACTCTTGTTGCCCAGGCTGGAGTGCAATGGCGCGCTCTCGGCTCACCGCAATCTCTGCCTCCTGGGTTCAGGCAATTCTCCTGCCTCAGCCTCCTGAGTAGCTGGGATTACAGGCACGCGCCACCATGCCCAGCTAGTTCTTTGTATTTTTAGTAGAGACGGGGTTTCACCATGTTGACCAGGATGGTCTCAATCTCTTGACCTCGTGATCCACCCGCCTCGGCCTCCCAAAGTGCTGGGATTACAGGCTTGAGCCACCGCGCCCGGCCTATGCCCATCCTTTAATTGAAAAATGGGAAGCTTTTGTTACTACTAAGAAGGCGTTTCTTAGTATTATTTCTTAGTGTCCACAAAGCATCTTGCCACTTTAAAAGCCCATGTTGCAAACCTGTTAGGTTTTAGCTACATAAGAACAATCAACTATAGATGTGCTAACAAGTGAACATCAGGCCAAGTGCTGTGGCTCATGCCTGTAATTCCACCACTTTGGGAAACTGAGGTGGGCAGATCACTTGAGGTCAGGAGTTCAAGACCAGCCTAGCCAATGTGGTAAAAACTTCATCTCTACTAAAAATACAAAAACTAGTTGGGCATGGTGGCACACACCTGTAGTCCCAGCTGCTTGGGAGGCCGAGGCAGCACAATGGCTTGAACCCAGAAGGCGGAGGTTGTAGTGAGCTGAGATGGAACCACTGCATTCCAGCCTGGGTGACTGAGCTAGAAAAAGGATATAATGAAAAACTACTAAGATTCCCATTTCTTTGCAGTTCCAAGTGTGTGAAATGCCATCTTTTATAACTTGTTACTAGATTGGAGCTGGAGTGAGCCTTCCAGGAATTTTGGCTGCAAAATGTGGTGCAGAAGTAATACTATCAGACAGCTCAGAACTGCCTCACTGTCTAGAAGTCTGTCGGCAAAGCTGTCAAATGAATAACCTGCCCCAGCTCCAAGTGGTAGGAATAACATGGGGTCATATATCTTGGGATCTTCTGGCTCTACCACCACAAGATATTATCCTTGCATCTGATGTGTTCTTTGAACCAGAAGGTAAACTTTTTTGGCTCAATAGGACATTTGGCCAGTGATGCTATAGGAAAGTATTCATAAATCCTTTCTCCTCAGATTTTGAAGATATTTTAACTACAATATACTTTTTGATGCATAAGAACCCCAAGGTCCAATTGTGGTCTACTTATCAAGTTAGAAGGTAAGTATGGCTAACCCTAGCTTACTTTTGAATGTAACTTAAGCCTTACTCTACCCTGCCCCATGCAATACATAATATAAAATATCTGAAGCAAAACAGAAAGGCATGATTTTAAAAAAACAAATTTATTACAATTTTTTTAAGTGCTGACTGGTCACTTGAAGCTTTGCTCTACAAATGGGATATGAAATGTGTCCATATTCCTCTGGAGTCTTTTGATGCAGACAAAGAAGATATAGCAGAATCTGCCCTTCCAGGAAGACATACAGTTGAAATGCTGGTCATTTCGTTTGCAAAGGACAGTCTGAATACCTAACAAGCTGTTTTGGGAGGGTATCAATACTGATGAGCAACCTGGCACAGACTAGGATCAGACCACTTCAGCTTGAGAATGCAGTTGGTCTGAAGGTGGTCAAGTCTGTTGGCCTTAGATTTTGGTGTCACCTAGACAACACGTTAACTCATATGAAACAAAAATTAAAATACTTATTAGAAGTACTTGGATTGTTCCTTAATCATTAAATAGGATATAAATTAGGTTGATAAAGGGGTATCACAACCTCAAGCAAAGTGCCACCTTAAAGCATTGATTTCGGGTATTCAACTGGCATTTCCACTTTAACTTAGGAAATCATAGGCACCAACATTCTACTTCCATACTCTGCAGTCAGCAATAATCACAGAACAATTGCATAGGTCTTTCAAATAAACGGGGGGGGAGAAAAAACCAAGACATATTCTGAGAAAAGCTAACACCAAGAAAATGTTTTAATTAAACTACAGAAACAATGGTTATAGTACAGAATATTCATAAGCAAAAAGATACACCATGTTGTAAGTACTTACAAAGTTACAACCATTTTCTTAACATTTTCCATGTTAAGTTCATACATATAGATATGATCAGATTTACCATTTTGGGGGGGAGGAGAAAAAAAGGTGTATTTATCATCAGCTAGATGTGCTCACTGTATGCTCCGTTATTTATATGCAAGGCCCGGGTGACTGGAAGTGCAGTTGTCAGGCATTTTAATAAACTGGACAGCCATTTGTTTCTGCACGACAAGGCATCTTTACACAGGAGCAATCAGGAGAAAACAGGAAACAGCCAAGCACTCTGCACTGCAACACGCCACCTTAACAGCTAACCAGCATTACTCAACTGCTACACAACTGCGCCTAGTGCACAAAAATACATAAGAGAAGAGATTAGAATTGTGTTTGATAAACAATTGTTTCAAAAAATCAAGTCTTTTCACCTGAAAAGTCTTTATACAAATTTGGGTTCAGATTACCATTTAGACCTGAAGGTAAATAACATATACAAATTTACACCAACTTTTGTAGGTTTTTAATTTTAAGGAATGAAGGCAATGCTGAGTCAATCTCTTGACAGCTTTAGGCTGTGTGTAATGGCTGCATACGTTTCCTTAAAAGTCAGGAGGCCACAAATTAGGTTACCAATCTGTTCAATTTCAAACAAAAAAAGTCAGCACTATATAACAAAATGAAATTTTACCTCAAATATCCAAATCCAATAATGAAATCTGAAGTCGTTCACCTCACTAAATTACAAGAAATTTGAATAACAGCAACAAAATGGCACATAAAATGAAGTTTGCCAACTGGGGCAAAGCTTAAACAAGTAAAAAGTTAGACAAATGTTACAAAATAACCTTTTCAATAGCCAGTTGCTTGTTCCAAGGACTCTTCTTAGATGGACTGAGTCTGTGGTCCTTTTCCCCCAAGTACTCCATTTATACTGCTTGCCGATACATCTAGGTTTGAAAAGAAAGAAGTTCAGCTTACCTTCCATTAAAGTGCACATGGTTTCAGTTTCAGGCATGTACTTACTAAGGCTCTGGTGAAACGAGTAGGGTACAGAAATGTTCCACCCAGCCATGTTTTTTAAAGGCCCAATTAGGAAAATTTCACAAAGGCTACCATGAACAGGTACAAGTTTGAATTTACGTATTCCTGGCCAAATAACCAAGGTGAAGAGTAAGGGGGAGGAAAAAAAAAAAAAGAAAAAAAGAAAAAAAAAAAAAAAAAGGGGGCTGTATCCAAACAAAAACAACTCGAAATCAGAGAATTGGTCTATATTTTATTAAGAAAAGTTGTTTCAAATGAAACATCTGGCAACTGAGAATAATACTTTATTATCTGAGCTACTTAGGGCCCTTTCCTTTTTAAAAAATAGGACCAAACAATTTGAGAGTTAAAGACACACTATCCTTTCCCCACCCAGTGCGATACCTGTAATCTTTCTTTGGGGTTCCAAAAGTTCACTGCTTCTTATTGCAATTCGTTTGCCACATCCATTAGAATATGAAGTCCCAGTCAGTACAACAATAGTTGAACTGAACGTTTTTCTCTAAGAGGATAGTGCATCTTTAACATTTAAAGACAAACCTGCTCCAATACACGCCCACAGAAACTGGTCCCTGGAGGATCAGCCAAATCAGTTAAAATCTGCAATACTGGCCAATATTCTTTTATCAAACAGGAGACCGCAGCTTTAAAGGGGGAAAATGCAGACGTTGGATAAAAACAGCAAGAAATAGTCATTTTCATTAATAGGTCTCAAACAGTTTACGAAACAGCCATTATTATCTAAGCTTCATACACATCCTTCCTGCAGACCCCTCTTCAGTATCACTCCCAAAGGCGAGTAACCTCAGAGCAGCACTCCTAACATTAGGAGTCATTCTTACATTAACACGGCTCAAAAGACCTGCCCTAAATCCCATTCATGAGTGAGGGTTGTGTCTCGGATTCCCAGTCGTTACCTTTTTCTTAAGAGGACACCGCTCCTTCCTCTTCAGGCGACTTAGGGGGACTCTTGGATCGCGACCTGGATTTGGATTCCCTCTTGGACACGGGGGGAGGACTCCGGGACCGAGATCGGGACCTGGACCGCGAGCGAGATCTGGAGACCGACGAGGACTTGGACTTGGACCTTCGCGCGGATCTAGACTTGGAGGTCGACCGAGAGCGCGAGCGAGTGCGCGACCGAGACTTGGAGCGGCTGTAGCGAGATCGGCTGCGGGACCTGGACCGGCTCCGACTCCGGGATCGGCTGCGGCGACGCCGCCTAGGGCTGCAGGCGGGACGAGCAGCACGGCGGGGTTAACTCCAGGCGGCGGGGCCGGCCCCGCCCGCGCGCTCCCGCCCAGGCCGCCATTATCTCGCCGCCAGACGCCATTTCCCCAGCCGCGAGGCGGGGTCCTGCGCCCCGCGCCGCCCACACCCGGGTCGCAGAGGGCGGAAGCGCGCGGGGCGGCCCAGGGTCGCGAGGAGCCGCGTGCGCCCCCGCCCCGCCCCGCCCCGCCCCACGTGCTTCGCCGCGGACCTTTGTGAGGCCCCCGGGCCTCCCGCGCGCCGCGCCCCGCCCCCCGCGGCGCCCCGGCCCGGCTCACCTGCGGCTCCGGCGTCCGTAGCCTCCGCCTCCGTATCTGCGGGGCGGCGGTCCCCGGCGGCTGTGGTGCGAGTCCGGGGGGCGGCCGTAGCGCGCCATCTGCACCCGCAGCTCGCGGCCGTCCAGCACGGCCCCGTCCATGGCGTCCATGGCGTCCTCGGCGTCGCGCTTGTCGTGGAAGCGGACGAAGGCGAAGCCGCGGGACTCCTTGGTGTAGCGGTCCCGCGGGATGTACACGTCGCCGACGCGCCCGTACTTCTCGAAGACGCGCCTCAGCGTGTCGGGCGAGGTGCGGTAGGTCAGGTTGTCCACCTTGAGGGAGGTCATCCCCTCCACGTCGGGAGGGGGGCGGCCGTAGCTCATGGCTCTGGGAGGCGGCCGGGAGCCCCGCGGACTGGCGCCGGCTTCTGCGGCTCCGGGCGGCGCGACGCCGCGTCTCTCGTCTGGCGGTTGCCTTCCGCGTGGGGACGCCGGGAAGGCCTTGCGGGAAAACGGCACAGACGACCTTTATTGGCGAGCGCACCTCAGCAACAACTGGGCGGGCGGCGGGACCCAGCGCCTTTTTATATCCCGCCTCACAAAATGGCGCCCGCGCCACCCGGAAATGAAACCCTCTGATTGGGCCGCCGCGCCGCGTTTTGCAACGTCTCCGCCGCGTGCCCAGCCCGTGCCCGACGCGCCTGCGCACAGCTCGGCGGGCGGGCCGAAAAGCGCGGAGTCACTGCTGGAGGGAGGGGGAGCGGAATTAGCGGGCAGTTGGAAAGCCCGCGAAACGCTCTTTCCGCCTGGGAGGCCGGACGACAGCGCTCGGGCAGGAGGAAGAGGAGGTGCTTCCCCTCTAGGGCCCGCCTTCTTTTCATGCCAATAGGCCAAGTGCACGCAGCTTTTCTGCTCAGCCCCCAGCCCTCAGTCCTGCCTCTGTCAAAAGGGTGCTTCTGCCCGTATTTCCCTCTCCCTGTGACCCCGGCCTCCTCAGACTCCGCTGCGTCGTGTCTCGGCCCCATCCAGCAGTTCCCGATTACTCTTTGCCAGGGTCCGCTTCCTCACCCAGTTGCGCCAGAGCCAGCGAGCTCGGCCAGCTCTGCGTCCTGTCGGCGGGGAGTGTCTGCGGAGCACCTGCGCCTGCTGGGCCACCCGGGACTACGTTTCCCAGCGGGCCGAGCGGCCGGCGCCGCGGCTGCGGTCAGGTGACCGGGTCGCCTGAGCGCTGTGAATCAGGCGGGGAGGGCGGGGCCGCGCGGGCTGGGCTGCTGCGGCTCGCTCTTGGCCCCTTCGTCCCCTTCGCCGGCCCCTCAACCTGGAACGGCTACATTCTTGGCGCTCCTCCGAGGGTTGTGCTCTTCCGTATCAAATCGGATCTTAGGAATGGCCTAAATGCCGGTGGGGAGAACTTCGCCCTAAACCCGGGATTCCGATTCACGAACTGGCAGTTGACAGCCTGGCTGCTGGCTGCGGCGCCCGCCTTCTCCGCTCACCATCTCGTTTCTTCCCCCAGGATTGTCAGTGGCTTCGCCCCGACGAGAGCGGACCGCCCTGGGCTGCTGCTGACCTCCGGCGGAGCTGAGCCACCATGTCCCCGGAATCTAAAAAGCTTTTCAACATCATCATACTAGGAGTGGCCTTTATGTTTATGTTCACTGCCTTTCAAACTTGTGGAAATGTGGCGGTGAGTTGGAACCTGTCCTCCTTCCTTTGAAGTGCCCGGCATCATGCATTCCAGAAACGATAATAAACGTTCATGATATCGAATAGCGCGCTTAAATTGCATCTTTTATTTTTCCCACCCAGGCTTCCTCATTTTTTATTAGGTTTGATGTTTTACGTCAGATATTCCTCCCATATGGGGGGGAGAGTTATGCATTACCGTTTACCTGGTTTGATTAGGGGTTTGGATGTTGACCTAGTTACTTTATTTCTTGTCTGTATGAAGCTCTTCCTTAGCAGTTGGGTGGTTAAGGGAGGAAACCCGAGGCGTGGCTGGACCTGGCTTTCCTCTCCCACTCCCTGTCATTGGTTTGCCTTCTCCAATTCTGTTGTCTTTTTTCTTTCCTCCTAATGGACTTCAGTATTAAGTATAGAGCTTTTACTTTGCTTTTTGAGTACTTGGGAGTCACACTTCCCAAGGTGGGGGGAGGGAGACTGCAAACCGTTTTCCTTGATTAGTTTTATCTTCCACACAGCAAACTGTCATCAGGAGCTTAAATAGCACAGATTTTCACGGCAGTGGATATACCAGGTATCGTACCGCATGATTAGTTTTGCTTTATGTTTAACAGAAGTTGCTTAAATCCCGTCAGAATCACCAGCCATAGAATACTGTGACCGAATTAGTGGTGACTGCATTTTTCTCTTCTCAGTACCTAGACTGGGAGAACGTAATAGAAGAAAGCTGATGAGTTTATGTTTTCTGTGGAATTAGACACTAGATTTGAAATCCTCATTTCACAAGGTGTTCCGTTGTTATCTTAGGCAAGTGTTTCCGTGAGCCCAATTTCCCAGCTCAGAAAATGCATGTAAGGCACTTGGCATAGTGCATGGCATTGAATAAGCAGTCTACTATTGTTATGGTTAGAATTGCCCTGTCCGAAGCAGAGCATGTTGTGATTCTTGAAACATTTGGTCCTTCTGTTTTTGTAGTTTCATAACGATTAATATGCTTATGTTGGGAACTTTAAGATTTTGGGTGAAGTGTTTAGCCCCAGTTTTACTGATGGGTAAAATGAAAAGACCTGAGGCCAGGTGCAGTGGCTTGCACCTGTAATCCCAGCACTTTGGAAGGCCAAGGCGGGTCGATCCCAAGATTGGGAGTTCGAGACTAGCATGGCCAATATGATGAAACCCTGTCTCTGCTAAAAATACGAAAAAATTAGGTGTGGTGGCGCATGCCTGTAATCCCAACTACTCTGGAGGCTGAGGCAGGAGAATTGTTTGAACTCAGGAGGTGGAGGTTGCGGTAAGCTGCGATCGCGCGGGAAGCTGAGATCGCGCCACTGCACTCCAGTGTAGGCAACAAAACAAGACTCCATCTCAGAAAAAAAAAAAAAAAAGAAAAAAAAGACATTCACAAGTCAGTAGAACCTTGTGATTGGAGCTGAGAATGTAATATGTACACTTATAGAAACACAAATGGGTTTTTCTTTTTTAAAGTTAGATTTGTTTAATTGACAAATGAAAATTGCATGTATTTATTGTGTACAACATGTTTTGAAATATATATCGTGGAATGTCAATGCTGAGCTATAGAAACAAGTTCATTTCTCTAGAGTTAGAGATTGGGTCATGGCACCCCCATTCACCCCCACAAACCCATAACTCTTACTTTGTTCTTCATTACCTGTCCTAAGCCTTGTATATAACATTTGAGAATGAAGGAATGTTACTGTTCATTTTTCTAAGTGATTAATAGCACAGCTTTTTGTACTGCTTTGTCTTCATATGTATTCTAAAGAACAAATACAGAAAGACATTTGATATTGGAGAGATTCATAAAAGCCAAAGAATAATTTACTTTGGATTTATGAATAGTACCTAGTAAATGAATTCAGTCAGGGCCCTTGAAATGGTTTTAATCACACTTTGTACAAGACAATGTACTAAGGCTCGGTCGATAGTAACTGAGTAATGTTCAAGTGAGACCATTAGGTTGTGTTAAATAAATTCTGGCTTAAGCAAGTTGTAACTCTGCACTTGTTATTTATAGCAGAGAAATGTCACAGAGCTGCCAGGAGTTGTAGGCTAAGTTTGCAGAGCAGATTGGTGGACTAGGGCCTCTGGAGTCATGCAGTCCTGGCTTGACATTCACCAGCCACCCAGGCGGACTTTTGGCAAATTACTTAACCCCACTGTATTTCCTTTTTCTTTTCTCTAACATGAGGATAATGACAATATCTTCTTCCTAGAGCTGTTAGGATTAAAAGAGAAAGCATGTATATAAGTACTTGGCATAGTGCCTGTTATTATGACTTAGCAGTACGTAAAAAATGTATTGCTGTAGACAAACTGATCTCAAGACACCACTGATGGGACTTCAATGTTTTGTACAAATGAAAACTTTTATATGGTGTTAAGTTTAGTTATATAATTATCATAAATTCTGACTAAAGAATATGACTTCTTATTGTAAAATCTACAAACACAAATGGATTTTAAAAAGTGACACAGTGGTCTGTTGGGGTGGAATAGGGGAGGGACAGCGGGGGGTGGGGAGTTGGGGAGAGACAGCATGGGGAGAAATGCCAGATATAGGTGATGGGGAGGAAGGCAGCAAATCACACTGCCATGTGTGTACCTGTGCAGCAATCTTGCATGTTCTTCACATGTACACCAAAACCTAAAAGGCAATTAAAAAAATTTTTTAAAAAAAGTGACACAGCATACAAGGGCTTTGTTCTTTTTTTTTTTTTCTTCCGTTTGTGTATTAATGTGTGCAGCATGGCAATTATCTATGGAGTATTCTCTGCCTCAAATTTGATTACACCGTCAGTGGTGGCCATTGTAGGACCTCAACTCTCTATGTTTGCCAGTGGTTTATTTTACAGGTGAGTAGTGTCATCTTTCACTTATTTAATTAGAACACTTGTCAGGATCTTTCAAGTAGGTAGTAAATTTTTCACAATAATTTATAGGCTTGAGCCGAATAGAATAGAGGTGCTATTTTAGGAATTCTGGCCCAGTACTTGTTGCTCAGGGATATCATATTCTAATGTGATGGTATGTATGTGTATTTGCTTTTGTTTTACTGTTAATAAAAATAGTATCCAAAAGTCTCTTTCCATGAGGGTTGAAAAGAACATTCCATGAAATAATCTGACTTTCTGTCAGTTGACTGAAGATAATTGGGGATTCGAAATCATGTCTGAAATAACTAAATGTTTCACTGAATTCTAGAACTGTGGTTCCATAACGTGCTAAGCTTTTCGCAAAGGACACTGCAAACCTGTAAAATGTCTGATTTTACAAATTTGAAATAATAAATTACGGGCCAGACTCAGTGGCTTACACCTGTAAATCCCAACACTTTGGGAGGCTGAGGTATTGCTTGAGCGGAGGATCGCTTGAGCCCAGGGGTTCGAGACCAGCCTGGGCAATATGGTGAAACCCTGTCTCTTAACAAAAAGAGAAAAAATTAGCTGGGTGTGGTGGCACATGCCTGTAGTCCCAGCTACTTTCGAGGCTGAGGTGGGAGGAAGACTTGAGCCTGGGAGGTGGAGGTTGCAGTGAGCTGTGATGGTGCCACTGCACTCCAGTCTAGGCAATGTAGAGAGACCCTGTTTCAAAAAAAATAATTGATTAAGAAATGAGAAAGTTGATTGTGTCCCTTTTTTCAAAACTGGAGTGATCCTTTACAGGTTGAGTTTTAAAAGAAGAGAATCTCAGAACTGATTCCTAGAAGGCATAATTGGCATTCTGTTTCAGGTATCGTTTGACTATAATACCTTGACCTGTTATATTTTAGCATGTACATTGCCGTTTTTATCCAGCCTTTCCCATGGTCCTTCTACACAGCCTCTGTTTTCATTGGAATTGCAGCTGCTGGTAAGCGTTTTGATTTTTAACTTCTCTGTTTTCTTTTCTGGGGCCTAAAGGTATCATTTGTGTTTCGTATGTAATGCTAAGTGAATATCTTTCCCTTGATAAACTTTTGGTTTGAATTTTAGTGCTTTGGACAGCACAAGGAAACTGCCTGACAATAAATTCTGATGAGCACACCATTGGGAGAAACAGTGGGATTTTCTGGGCACTCCTGCAGTCTAGGTAATTATCTTTTTGAAGTTCAGTCTTTCCTTTGATTTTGTTTTTGTCATGCCATTTTTTAGGTCTCTGGTTGACAATTTGGATCTTCCATGTTACATTACTTAAGTTCTAGTTGAATGTGATATGATACAAAATTTTATAGAATTACAACTGGGCATGGTGGCTCACCAGCTACCCAGGACTATTTATACCAATACTGAATATAGCATTAACATTTTCTTAAGAAGAAGGCAAAACCAGCCGTAATTTCAGGAATCTTTCCTAGGAATTACCCTCATGAATCATGCCTCAAATTTTGGCCTTGACAAGGCTTAACAAATGCAAATGTTGCATTTTAAGAGTTATATATCAAGAAACTCTAGTGTAAGTGGATGATTCTTTCTCTAGGAAAGTATGCTAAAGAAAGTATTTGATTAGATGCAGATAACTAAACCATGGATTTTTAGAAATAGATTCTTTAAAATTTAGCTTAAGCTTGTTTCCAGGGAGTCATTTCCAGAGTTGCAATAAATCACATGTTTCAAAGTGAGTCAAGTCTTCTCTGAAGGGTGTCTCTGAATCAGGTTACTGTCACATGGAAGGAGGCTGAATTCCATCTGGGTCAGTTAAGTTTATCAGAGTCCAGATGAGTTGATACTTTTAAATGACCCAGCACAGGTAGATACTTTAAAAATGACGTCCTGCTGGGCACAGGGGGTCACACTTGTAATCCCAGCACTTTGGGAGGCTGAGGCACGTGGATCATGAAGACGGGAGTTTGAGACCAGCCTGACCAACATGGTGAAACCCCATCTCTACTAAAACTACAAATATTAGCGGGCGTAGTGGTGGGCGCCTGTAATCCCAGCCATTCAGGAGGCTGAGGCAGGAAAATCTCTTGAAACCAGAATACAGAGGTTGTAGTGAGCCAAGATCATGCCACTGCACTTCAGCCTGGGCGACAGAGGGAGACTCCATCTCAAAAAGAAAAATTGTGTTCTCTCTGTCTTGCAACAAATAATGGGAATAATTATTTTTTAAAAACCTTAAATATTAAAATAATTTCCCGACATCCTCTCCTCTCTTTTCTTCCCCCAGCTTGTTCTTTGGAAATCTCTACATATATTTTGCCTGGCAAGGGAAAACTCAGATATCAGGTTTGTTTTATTCACTTTGCTTTATTCAGATATGTTCAAAGCATAATAGGAGTTATACAGAAATACTCATTATTGCTTTATTCAAGTATTGTTTTCATGAACCCTGACACCTCAAGTTCTCTCAGACTTTAGCTTTTCATAAGCCTTTTCCTTGGTTTATATTATTAAACTAGGTTGCAGTTTATGCCTAAGCTTTAAGTGGCATCCAAAGTATGAGGGAAGGTTATGCTGGGCACGAGTATACACGTGTACTGAGTATGAGTATACTACAGTTGTCAGAAGACTTAAATGCTCAGTTTTGTCTGTACCCTTCTTCGATTAAAAGAAGGCAATTAAGCTCTTGTGCTGTTTTTCTTTGGCTTATTCATGTTTCTCTAACTGAAAGACAAAGGTGAAGATATCCCGTTTATCTCCTTGTCCTGAGTTTTGACTGATGGATTAAAGTGAAAATGTAACAAGGAAGTGCATTGACAGTTATAAGCAACCCTTGTACTCTGACACTAATTCTGGAATTGTTTGGTTGATACTATCTAGTTTCTTCTTTTTCTCCTTAGAGAGTGACCGGCGAACAGTGTTTATCGCCCTAACAGTGATTAGCCTTGTGGGGACAGTTCTGTTCTTTCTCATTCGGAAACCAGATTCTGAAAATGTCCTAGGAGAAGATGAATCTTCTGATGATCAGGACATGGAAGTCAACGAGTAAGATGCTGGAAACATTCCATTTTATTTTAAAATAGATTTTGAGTAGATCTAGTGTAGAGACTGCCAACTATTTAGCCCTAACTGATAGCCGATACTCTCTGTAGGTCACCACAGGCAAGAAAAGGAAGAAAATAAAGGAGGAACTGCGAGAAAGGAAGCAAAATGGTTACCAGGGGAAGGGGGGTGGTGCAAAGGTGCACAGGGGATTTGAGTCTATTCCTGGCCTTGCCACTGCTGTGCGTGTGTGACCCTGGACAGTGGCAGCAATCCCTATCACGTCTCTAGGCCTCCGCTTTCTAACTCAATCCATGTGTTTTCATGGGCAAGGAAATAGAAGGCAGTGTTGACCTTGGTTACTGTTTCTGTGATCCAGCTCTAAAGTTTTCCTGTTCTTGTGGTATGAGTGAGTGGCAGGGCTAGTGATGGTTGTCACAGATGAACCTTGGTTATAACTAGGCTGTTGTTTACAGCATCCAGCTCTTGAACTGACTTACACAGGTGGTTTTCCCCAGAGTGGTCCAAATGGGAGAATGAGTGTACAGCCCTGTGTTTTCTAAAAATTACCTAAGCACATTTCAGTTGCAGGTGACACTGTGTAAGCATGACAGGTAAGTGATCTGCAGTATCATTCAGATTTGAGGAAGGAGAGATGAGAAGTTAATCTCTGCCACACTTGTTTTGCTTTGTTTGTGAATTGATAAACTGTAGAGATTGCCTTACAGCATTTTATCTATTGTTAAAACTTTTGCATTGAGCATCCCATGCTGACTTTGTAATCCAGAAAGGGCCTGAAATTCTCCAGTCATAGGAGCTTTAGATGCCCAGGATTTGCAGTAAGTTTGTGTGAAGCAGAAACGAAGGCGGCGCTTTGGTCTGGATATGCTGCCATGCCCCACCTTCTTGCTCTTTAATGTGCTTCACAGATCATGGGTTTTGTACAGATTGAAGGCTTGTGGCAGCCCTGCATTGAGCAAGTCTGTCGCTGCCACTTTTCCAACAGCATGTGCCTTCTTTGTGTCTCTCTGTTCACTTTGGCCATTCTCACAATACTTCAGACTTTTTCATTCTTATAATATCCGTCATGGTGATCTGTGATCAGTAATCTTTCATTACTGATTGCAGTTGTTTTGGGGCACCACAAACCGCATCCATATAAGGTGGTGAACTTAATTGATAAATGTTATGTGTGTTCTGATATGCTATGTTATGGATGGTTCCACTGCAGGCCATTCCCCTATCTCTCTCCCTCTTCTCCTGAGACACAGCAATATTGAAATTAGGCCAATTAATGACCCTACAATGGCCTCTATGTGTTAAAGTGAAAGGAAGAGATGCCTATCTCTATTTATTCATTTATTTAGAGATGGAGTCTTGCTCTGTCACCCAGGCTGGAGAGCAGTGGCCCAATCTCAGCTCACTGCAACCTCTGCCTCCCAGGTTCAAGCAATTCTCCTGCCTCAGCCTCTCAAGTAGCTGGGATTACAGGGACCTACCACCACGCCTGGCTAATGGCTAATCAAGAAATGACTAAGCTTAGCAAGGAAGACATATGGAAAGCTGAGATAGGCAAAAGCTATGCCTCTTGTGCCAAACAGCCAAGTTGTGAATGCAAAGGAGAAGTTTTTGAAGGGAGTCAAAAGAGCTACTACTCCAGGGAACACATGAATGATAAGAAAGCGAAACAGCCTTATTGCTGATAGAGAAAGTTTTAGTGGTTTGGATAGAAGATAAACCAGCCACAACATTCTGTGAAGCCTAATCCACAGCAAGGTCCTCTCTTCAATTCTGTGAAGGCTGAGAGACGTGAGGAATCTTTAGAAGAAAAATTTGAAGCTAGCAGAAGTTGGTTCATGAGGATCAAGGGAAGAAACCATCTCCATGACATGAAAGTGCAAGGTGAAACAGCAAATGCTGATGAAGAAGCTGCAGCAAGTTATCAGAAGATCTGGCTATTATAATGGACGAAGGTAGCTGCACTAAACACAGGTTTTCAGTGTAGACCAAACAGGCTTACATTAGAAGATGCCATCTAGGAATTTTATAGTTAGAGAGAAATTAACGCCTGGCTTCAAACCTTCAAGGAACAGGCCAACTTTTGTTAAGGGCTAATGCAGCTAATGACTTTAAGTTGAAGCCAATGCTTACTTACCATTCCAGAAATCCTGTGGCCCTTAAGAATCATGCTAAAGCTACTCTTCCTGGTCTCTAGAAATGGAATGACAAAGCCTGGTTGGAAGCACATTTGTTTACAGCATTATTTATTGGAAAAAAAAAATATATATATATATATAGAGAGAGAGAGAGAGAGGGAGAGAGAGAGACAGAGTCTTACCCTGTTGCCCAGGCTGGAGTGTGTTGGTGTGATCTCAGCTCAATGCAACCTCCACTCTCTGGGTTCAGGCTATTCTCCTGCCTCAGCCTCCCAGGTAGCTGGGACTACAGATGTGCACCACCATGCCCAGCTACTTTTTGTATTTTTAGTAGAGATAGAGTTTTACCATGTTAGGCAGGCTGGTCTCAAACTCTTGACCTCAGGCAGTCTGCCCACCTTAGCCTCCCAAAGTGCTGGGATTACAGGAATGAGCTACCATGCCTGGCCTGGTTTAGTGAATATTTTAAACCCACTGTTGAGACCTACTGCTCAGAAGAAAAGACTCTCAAAATATTACTGCTCATTGACAATGTACCTAGTCAGCCAACTGCTTTGTTGGAGGTGTACAAGGAGATGAATGTTGTGTTCATGCCTCCTAATACAACATTTGTTCTGTAGCTTTCAACTTTTTTTTTTTTTTTGAGGTGAAGTCTTGCTCTGTCACCCAGGCTGGAATGCAGTGGTGTGATCTGGGCTCACTGCAACATCTGCCTCCTGGGTTCAAGAGATTCTCTTGCCTCAGCATCCTCAGTAGCTGGGATCACAGGTGTGTGCTCCCATGCGTGGCTAATTTCAACTTTCAAGTCTTATTATTTAAGAATATATTACATGAGGATAGCTGCCATAGATAATGATTCCTCAGGTCTAGGCAAAGTAAATTCTAAACCTTCTGAGAAGGATTCATCATTCTAGGTAGGTCCCATTAGGAACATCTGTGGCTATGACCAGGCATAGTAGCTCACACCTGTAATTCTAACACTTTAGGAGGCCAAGGCAGGTGGATTGTTTGAGCTCAGGGGTTTGAGACCAGCCTGGGCAACATGGTGAAACATTTTCTTTTAAAGCACAAACCAGTAGTTATTGGAGAATGAGTCCTGTGAAGATGCATACCACAAATTCAACAAAAACTGAGCCCCATTCCGTCAGCACATGCTTGGTGTTGGTCCTAGAGGACTGAATGCCACCCATCCCTGTTTTCAAGAAACTGCCAGTTTGGGGAGGTGGATGAGGGGTTCTGTAACTTGAGCAGGCACACTTCTAGAAATACTGCTCAGCCTTTGTAGCATTCTCTCCTCCTGAATCATCTCCTAAATTTGGAGGTTCTGTGTCTTTGTTCTACAAATAGCACTGACTTGTGGCAGTCCTCTTCTATGCCTGAGAAATATAGGAGTGAACAAGACAGATAAGTCCCTGTTCTTATGGAACTTAATTTTAGAAGGAGTGGTAGACAGTACACATGTAAGAAATAGCAAAGTGAACGTTAGGAAGACTGAAAGGGGGACAGTGGGGTGGAGAATAGGGTGGCTCCCTGAGACCTGGCTAGTGAGACATGAAGGTCAGCAGGTGGCCTTGGCCAAAGCCAGGCAGTGGGAAGGGTGTGGTGGGCTCTGGACTCCAAGAAGGAAGTGGATGCAGTAGGCAGGGTCAGATTATGTAAGCCAAGGTAAGGAGGTTTGTGTTTTCTTAGTGCGATTAGAAGCTGTTGAGGGTATAAGTAGAATAATTTTTTTTTTTTGAATGAGGAAATACTTGGAGAAATGAAGTCACTTGTCTAAAATCACATAACTAATTAGCGGCCAAGCCAGGCCTCTGACTTTAAAGCCCTTGTTCCAACCAGTAGATGATCATGTGTCCCAGCCTTGTCACAAGAAGGGCACTCATGGTTCTGCAGAGTTTTATTGAATATGATTCTAGTATAATTAAAAACTTATTTCTCAAAAGGAATCATAAAAGGAAAAGTCTGCTTTATTAACATTGCAGATGAATAAAAGCACACGGTATCAATAAGAAGTCTGCCGTTGTCAGGATTGTCGTAGCTTAGGCATGTTGTTGCTCAGTCCTCAGATAGCTGCAGTTGCTCTGTATATCACATTATATAGCCCACTTCCGTTTCCCATTGCAGAGAAAATGAGGCATAGGATGTACAGTGATCTAATGTTAGGTACTTCCTTGACTTCATCAGTCTTGGTGGTTGAATAAGAAAAATATGTTTTAAGCTTTGGAGCATGATTTCAAGCATTGGATAGTGTTTTGGCAGTAGTCTCAGTACGCTGGAAAAGTCAGGGATTTTTTTTTTTTTTCTGAGATGGAGTCTCGCCCAGGCAGGAGTGCAGTGGCCAGATGTCAGCTCACTGCAACCTCTGCCTCCCAGATTCAAGCGATTCTCATGTCTCAGCCTCCTGAGTAGCTGGGGTTACAGGGGTGTACCACCACACCCAGCTTATTTTTAAAATATTTTTAGTAGACATGGGGTTTCATCGTGTTGGCCAGGCTGGTCTCAAACTCCTGATCTCAAGTAATCTGCCCTTAAGTGATCAGCCTGCCTCGGCCTCCCAAAGTTTTGGGATTCCAGGCATGAGCCACCATGCCCTGCCCAAGCCAGTGATTTGACCTACCTGCCTTGTATGGATAAATGAAATTGCAGGTTGCGATGAAAACCCACCTCTCTTAGCAGGGCAGGAGATAGGTATGAATCCTTATCTTGGAAATGTTCCTGAGGTAAACATTAGTATAGATTGAAAAATAACCTTCCCTTTTAAAACCTGAGATTTGATATCACTGTTGGTGTAAAAACATGTAACGTATAAAAATCTTGTCACACGTTGGTTACAGGATATCCAGTTCCCAAAAACACCTCATCAGAAAGCACATAGCAGTCGTCACCCATCAATGCTTGAATTTTGATGTGAAGCCAATTGAGAGTACAGTACCTGCCAAAGTCTCTTGGTTCTCAATACCAAAACAGTCATAGCAGCAAGGACATGAATGAAAGCTAACTTCAAGAAAGCCTTCATGATCCACATCCAAAGCAACCACCTCTCAGGATGCAGACAGTAACAACAAAAGTCTCTGATGAGTTTTAACGCCAAAGAACTTTTTCATAGTAAAGGTGGTGGAAAATCGAGTACTCACAGATTATTTCTACAGTTTGTAGGTAACAGGATAGGTTGGGTGTGGTGGCTTATACCTGTAATCTCAGTACTTTGGGATGCTGAGGCAGGGGGGTCACTTGAGCTCAGGAAGTTCAAGACCAGCCTGGGCAACATGGTGAGGCCCCCACTTCTACCAAAATTACAAAAAATTAGCTGGGTGTAGTGGTGTACACCTGTAATCCCAGCTACTTAGGAGGCTGAGGTGGGAGGATTGCTGGTGGGAGGATTGCTTGAGCCTACGAGGAGGGGATCGCAGTGAGCCAAGATCACATCACTGCACTCTAGCTTGGGAGACGGAAGAGACCCTATCTCAAAAAAAATAAAAAACAAAAGCAACAGGATAAAGGGTATTTCTGTACTGCCTGAAGTATTACTGAAAAAGATGTGCATAAACATATACAATAAGTATAATCTCAAAGAATCGTCTTCCATAGTTAATAGAGAGACACCCAGGTGGGATTTTAAACACCTGGAGCAAGGGTGCAGCCATGAAGGGACACCTGGGGCAAGGAGCTTTTGGGTCCCTGGAAATGTACCTCAGACTTGGTAGAAGACAGGGTTTTTACACACTTAAATGAAAATGTGATCATACTTTTGTTCTGTTGTTTTTTTTTTTTTTTTTTTTCCAAAAGGAAAAATACTTTATTTTATTTTATGTTTTCAGGTCTGCCCAGAACAATCTGACAAAGGCAGTAGATGCTTTTAGTAAGTATTTTCTGTATCTGAAATCCAAGAACTGTTCAGGAACAGCTTCAGCATTTGCCTTTCCCCTTTCCCCTGGTAACTTTGGATTGATGACACCCCAGGGTTTGCATTTTTCCAGGTATGCTGCTCTGAAATATATTGGTCTTCCTTATAAACATCTCTCTAACATGGGGGTTGTGAGGGATGGATGATGATATGACTGTCCACCCACCCAGGTGTGTGAGGGACGCAGGAAGAGGCTGCAGCAGCAGTCAGGTTCTCCTGGAGTTGAGAGTCTCCTGGGAGTTTTGCAGGGTAATTAGGAGCAGATTGTGGCCGGGTGTGGTGGCACATGCCTGTAATCCCAGCACTTTCGGAGGCCAAGCCAGGCAGGTCACCTGAGGTCAGGAGTTCGAGAACAGCCTGGCCAGCATGGCGAAACCCCGTCTCTACTGAAAGTACAAAAAATTAGCTGGGCGTGGTGGCGTGCGTCTGTAGTCCCAGCTACTCAGGAGACTGAGGCAGGAGAATCTCTTGAACCGAGATTGCACCACTACATTCCAGCATGGTGACAGAGGGAGACTTCATCTCAAAAAAAAAAAAAAAAAAAAAAAGATGCAGATTGCTTGCTACTCCTTGGAGCAAAGCAGTAGCTCCAGTGGCCTAAAAGGTAGTACGAACAATCATATTCCTACATTGAGAAGTCTTCCTGGCCAGAGACTCTGCTGAATTCTTTGTTTTTTTTTTCTTCCTGACAACTTCATAACATTCTTGGAGTATCTTTATGGTTTTTTGTTTTCTTTTGTTTTAGTTTGGTTTTTTTGAGACAGAGTCTTATGATCTGCCCATCTCGGCCTCCCAAAGTGCTGGTATTACAGGTGTGAGCCATCACACCCAGCCTATGTTTTTCACTCTGTGTAATTCTCACAATTCTACGAGTATTATATAATGTACACCTATCATTGTCTCAGTTTTATAGAACAGAAAACTGAGGCTTAGAGAAATAATTTAGGAGCCAGGCATGGTGGCTCACACCTGTAATCCCAGCACTTTGGGACGCTGAGGTCGGTGGATCACTTGAGGTCAGGAGTTCAAGACCAGCATGGCCAACATGGCAAAACCCCGTCTCTACTAAAAATACAAAATTAGGCATGGTGACGCGCACCTGTGGTCCTAGCTACTCGGAAGACTGAGGCAGGAGAATCACTTGAACCCAGGAGGCAGAAGTTGCAGTGAGCTGAAATCGTGCTACTGCACTCCAGCCTGGGAGACAGAGTGAGACTATCTCTCAAAAAAAAAAAAAAAAATGGAAATTAAGTAGTTTACCTAAGGTCAACCAGTTAATAGGTGGCTGAGTTGAGATTTGAGTCAGATTCTCACAGTTTCCTTCAGAAACTTTCAGTGAGTTCCTTTTGTTTCTGTGTAAGACTCTCTCAGCTTCTTTGTCTTCCCAGGAGAGAGAATCTGACTGGTACAATTATTCTCCATAAGGGAGCAGCCTTTTGGGGCCATGTGTATTCATTAAGCCTATTGTAGGCCACAGGGCCTTTGTGACATATGGACCTTATGGCCATAGAGTACCTGTGATTAGTTTGTAGTTTGCCTCAGGCTAGAGTGCAAATTCGTGATCTAATCAGCCATGGCCTGACTCAGATGACACAAATCATGTCAACTCTTGACCAGGAATGTCTGCAGCTTTTTTAAGAAAGGGCCTATGGGCATGGGAGTCTGAGCCTTACACACGTAGTACATTGTTTCAAGAATAGATTCATAGTTTTATGTATGTATATATATATTATGTGTATATACATACATAAAACAGTATACTTGGTTGCAGTGAGCCAAGATCACACCATTGCACTCCAGCCTGGGCAACAGTTGCCCAGGCTGGAGTGCAATGGCTCGATCTTGGCTCACTGCAATCTCTACCTCCCAGGTTCAAGTGATTTACCTGCTTCAGCCTCCCAAGTAGCTGGGAATACAGGCATGTATCACCACGCCCAGCTAACTTTTGCATTTTTTAGTAGAGACAGGGTTTCTCCATTTTGGTTAGGCTGGTCTTGAACTCCTAACCTCAAGTGATCTGCTTGCCTCAGCCTCCCAGAGTGCTGGGATTATAGACGTGAGCCACCACGCCCAGCCTAGGAATACATTCATAATTATAAATTGAGCTGCACATTATAATTAAAAGGGGTATACTCTGACTTCCTTAGCAAGATAGAAGGTTATCACTATCAAAAGTGTGGCTTTCATCTTTGCAGGCCTAGAAACTTGTCTGTCAGAATACCCATTAGGCCAGGCACAGTGGTTCACACCTATAATCCCAGCACTTTGGGAGGATCACTTGAGGTCTGGCATTCAAGATCAACCTGGCCAACATGGTGAAACCCCATTTCTACTGAAAATACAAAAATTAGCCAGGCGTAGTGGTGGGTGCCTGTAATCCCAGCTACTCGGAAGCTGAGGCAGGTGAATCGCTTGAGCTCAGGAGGTGGAGTTGCAGTGAGCACTCCAGCCTGGGCGACAGAGTGAGGCTCCATCTCAAAAAAAAAAAAAAAAAAAAAAAAAACCATTATTGCACAGAGGCCGGAGGGGAAAAGGACTCAAGCTAAACTCATAGAAATTGCAGTCTAACCATTTGTGATGGCATTTAACCTTTTTTAGTGAGCCCTTTCATAGATAATTCCTTCTTGTCGTCAGTAGGCTAGAAAGCCACATTGGCTTACTTGGTGAGCTTGGAGTCATTAAAGGGAGGTAGGTGACCTGGCTTATGGGATGGGGCCGCCAGCCGTGGTGAGGCATGGTGCAGCCTCCCTGCTCCGTCACAGATCCCTCTCTGGCTGTCTGTTGATGTTAACCAGTTTCAGGACTTCTCACCTAGATAGTTGGACAGTCTTTGCCTCAACTGTGGCTGTAAAAGGAGGCACTGACACATTTTGGGCCACATGCTTTGCATTACAGAGCTGGTCAGTTACATGGTAGGATTGATTTGTTATAGGATATTGGGCCGTCAGGTTTGAATAGGGAGAAGGAAGGCAGCAGCCAAATAAGGTATGGCACGTAGAGTGCTTTAGGGAAAGTAGGCTCAGGCCAGTTCCTGGGCAATTGGGGCACAACAGGAGGTTGTGAGGTGGTGAGGGAGCCAGAGGCACAGGGAGAGAGGGAGAATGAATGGCAAGGCTTCATGTGGCTTGTGTGTGGCCAGTGCTTCATTTATTGATTAATTATGACATTCCTGTGGTCGGGGCTATGATAGATGTTGTACAGAGAAGATTCCTACATACTATCTAGTATTGTTTTTTTAAGAGATGGGGTCTTGCTATGTTGCCCAGGCTGGAGTGCACTGGCTATTCACAGGTGCGATCCCACTACTGATCAGCCCGGAAGTTTTGAACTGCTCCTTTTCTGACCTGGGCCCGTTCACCCCTCCTTAGGCAACCTGATGGTTCCCTGATCCCGGGAGGTCACCGTATTGATCAGACACCTGATCGGCATAGTGCACTACAGCCCAGAACTCCTGGGCTCAAGAGATCCTCCCACCTCAGCCTCCCAGGTAGCTGGGACTACAGGCACGTGCCACTGCGCCTGGCTCCTATATACTATCTAAAAGCAGTTAATTCCTGAACTGAATTTATACTTTTAATGTGCTTCTCAAATAGGTCCGTAAAGTTTTTAAACATTTATTTTTTGATTTTGAGGAAACTATGCTAAAGTTCATCTGCTAGGATCAATGTCTGAAAATAGCCAAGAAAATGTTCTCAAAGGAGGCAAGAGACTTATCCTCCTAAACACCGAAACCTATTATGGATTCATTTGCAAACACCAGAATAGCAAGAACAATGAAACAAAGTCTAGAATCAGGTGCATGCTCATATAGGAATTTAGGCTATAAAACAAGTGAGTCTTAAGCAAGGCTAGATAGCTGACTGCTTAGAAAAACATGTAGATCCATACTTTATATTAAAACTTCTGATAGATTAAAGGTTAAATGTAAAAATGAAACTATACAAGTAATTGAGCTGAGGTACAGTGGCTCATGCCTGTAATCCCAGCACTTTGGGAAGCCAAGATGGTGGGTGGATTGCATGAGCCCAGGAGTTCAAGACCAGTCTGGGCAACATGGTGCATCTCTCTCTCTCTAAAAAAAGTCCGAAAATAGCCAGGTGTTCGGGTGTGCACTTGCAGCTCCAGCTACTTGGAAGGCTGAGGTGGAAGGATTGCTTGAGCTCGGGAGGTTGAGGCTGCAGTAAGTGGTGATGGTACCAGTGCACTCCAGCATGGGCACAGAGTAAGACCAGGTCTCAAAAAAAAAAAGCAATTGAAGAAATAAATGTAAAACTTCAGTTAACACAACCTAACAAACTTAAAACTGGCAAGGAAAATCTGGGGAAAATATTTGCAATATGTGATAAAGAGCTGTCATGAGCATAAACACTCTGGTAGAAAATAGGCATTTTATAGCTATGGAAAAAAATGTTATAACTTAAGTTTTTTTGTTTTTTTTTTTTTTTTTTTAAATGAGATGGCGTTTCGCTCTTGTTACCCAGGCTGGAGTGCAATGGCGCGACCTCGGCTCACCGCAACCTCCGCCTCCTGGGTTCAGGCAATTCTCCTGCCTCAGCCTCCTGAGTAGCTGGGATTACAGGCACGCGCCACCATGCCCAGCTAATTTTTTGTATTTTTAGTAGAGACGGGGTTTCACCATGTTGACCAAGATGGTCTCGATCTCTCGACCTCGTGATCCACCCGCCTCGGCCTCCCAAAGTGCTGGGATTACAGGCTTGAGCCACCGCGCCCGGCATAACTTAAGTTTAATTGACCCTTGAACAGTGTGGGGCATGGACTCTCCAGTCCACACCACCTATCCCCCACACACAGTTGAAAATCCACAGATAACTTTTCACTCCCCCAAAACTTAACTAAGCTCACTGTTCACTGGAAACTTCACCGATAACATAAACAATTGACTCGTGTATTTTGGGCCAGGTGCAGTGGCTCACACCAATAATCCCAGCACTTTG